TAGATTTGAATTAAAAAATAGCAAGAAAAAATTGAATAAAATCTGTTTTCTAAATTGGGTGGGTTTTTTCTTATCGTTTTTTTTTTAAGCATGTAATAAAACTGGCTTTATTTTAAAAAATCCTCTATTTCTATTATTAAAAAAACTGTCGCCTGTCTCACTGTTGATAGATCACGCCTTTAATTTTTGTTGTTGTGGTGGTGGTGCTGGTGTGGGATAAACCACTTATTAGATTTGGGAGAAAATGTAATGTCGTGTAGATTCCAAATTATTTATTTCCTTATTGGGTTTTTCAATAAATTATAATCTATCGACTGCTGTCATGTCTACTTAGAGCTTTATTCGTTCCGCATGACTGAATCACTACCTATCTCATCAAAAGTCGTAGGAATTTAATTTCAAATGTAACCTAGCATTCTGGGACCCATTCGAGAGTTCACGAAACAAAAACCGAAAACTAATTCAGCATAGAATTTTTCAGCAAGAACTCTGTCAAGTTTATCCCCACAAATTCGTTCAGGCTTCAGATTTAAAGATATTTTGCCAGGAACCGATGCAATTCTTAATACAGAACAAAGGAATCAAGAAAAATTTTGCATTAACAATTGAGCGCATAACCAGAGTTACTTTCAAAGAACGTCTTTTCGACAAAAAGAATTTTCTTTCTTTAACAAGTTTTTGCATACTGAACTGATCCAAAAATATTTTGAGCAGAAATATTATAAAATAACATAAGCATTTCTTTCAAAAGAAAATATATTTGCTTACACAACAGTTATTTTGGTGGATATATTTTTTTTAATTACTATTCGTTTTTTTCTCTCAATAATTTAGAGTTTCTAAGACGTGTCATTTTTTTTTTAACTTGTGGGGTCACTTACATCATCGCAACAGAAATAGCTTCGTAAAGGCATATTGAATTCAACATCTTTTAGCGGGATGTCCGTATTTCCGACAGGAACAGTTTCTGTTGCATGCTGAGAGAACTTTTATTATTTTTTATTTAATTTATTTTAAACAAAGTTTTAATGTTACTATTTTATTTTAATTTATTTCTAATTTTCCTTATTATTATTATTTTATATTTTTATTAATAATAATATTAATAATAATAATAATAATAATGTCCCTACAACTACTCCTTCAATCTTTTAACTTTATCAATCAAACGTAGCTAGTGGTATGGAACAGGCGGGTTGTATTTTTTCATATTTTTATTGTTGTTCCAAAAATAATGTTTTCAAACATTCCGATACAGTTCTTTCGGTAATCGATGTTATACTCCGTCGCAATTTGATCCCATTCTGATTCATTCTTCCCGCTAGCTGGATGTGAACGCCACGAAGGAGGAAAACGAAATAACAAAAGTCGTTTTCTGTGCACCACGCATTACATCCGGTCTACGGAGCGAGCTCCGACGTTGGCCACTTGCGAACGTTCCCGCTGGTAAAAGAAATACCTCTGGGGACTACTAGACCCGCATAAAAGCAGACACTGAGAACGACCAGAACACACCAGGGACCGGGGTGGCCGCGGCCGTTACGCAGGACGCTGCTGATGCTACCGCCGCCATGACCTCGTCAACATGACAACAGTGTTGCAGCCCGGCCGTCACGCAAGACACTGCGGGCGTCACCGTCTCCGCCTTCATCACCACTATGCAGTATGACTGCACCTCTCAACGACCGTTACCACTTCATGGCTTGACCAACCACCTCGACTATCCAGCTGCCAACTCCATCGACTATCCAGCTGAGAGGAATTAAGGCTGAGATGTTTCAACTAATGCGACTCATTTACAAGGCATTCCCTTAACAGTTAACACCAGCGACCTTCGTTCCACAGAACAGGTCTACCAACCCCGCCGTCACCGCGGGCTACCTCGACTCGTTTACAAGCTATTCCCTTCACAGTCGACACCAGCGACCTCCGTTCCACAGAACAGGCCTATCAAAACCACGCTAATCTGACGTCAAATAAAAAAACTAATGATAATGATATTCAATTACGACAAAAAGGATATATTTGGAACAACAAATAAATTTTTTATTGTGTTTATTGACCAATTAGAAGTTGAGATTTCCTGAAAATATGTATGAAGCTGGGTAAGCTCTTTGATCCATTTTTTGCACAGATTTGTACAAAATTCAAAATTGATAAAAAAGTGGTATCGGGATGCTAAATATACTCGCGGATAGGTCTCACATTTTTTACTAGAAATTTCACAAAATATTAGGGGTGCGACCTATCCGCTCGACATAAATCTAAAACAACACTAACTTGTCATCATGATACCCTTAAACACTAAAGCTATGTTTTTTCTCAGTATAGAAACAATTTATCTATCATATATATTGACTCATTGCTTTAAACTTACCTCATGCTGCTAGATTCACAAAATCCATCAAAATAAATAAATAAAATTATAAAATATTCATTGATTCATCATTGTTGTATTTTAATTGTAAAAGTGTATATTAATAATTATAAGTTTTGAAATAAAGGTAGAAATGAAAGTAGATATCTGATAATTCTTACGTTTAAAAAGGGCTGTGTAACTCCCCAGATTATAGTGCGACCTATCTGTGAGTCAACAGCAAATCATCAATTATTAAGCCATAAAGTAGGGGTGCGACCTATCTGGTGGGGCGACCTATCCGGTGGGGGTGACCTAACTTTTCGGTTAACTTTTCTTTTTTTGATATATTATACTGTAGGTTACATATACTTACGGATTTTTATAAATATATTTTTTCATTTAAATCCTTGAAGGAATTCTTTTAATTATTATATATATATTATATTATATTTGAATCAATTATTTTTTCTTCTCCCCTCGTGAAACTGTAAATATTGCTGTTAGAATTTTCTTAGAGAAAATGTGACTTTTTGGTTATTTTTACATGAATTGAAAAATACAATGTTATGGCGAAAGAAACTGTGCTGATTCCTTAAGTTTTCGTATTTTCCAGTGATGTTCTCTGTCGATTATTTTAACCTCAGGAGAGGCAGTGATCGTTTTCCCTCCATATGTGGTCAGCTACGCCTGATTTTTCTATTTCCTCTTGTGTTACCGCTTTACGATGTTTATGCAGTCATACCTTTAGGGGATGGCTTGTTTCTCTTTTATATTTCTTACCACAGCTGCACGGGATGGCGTACATATAGTCCTTAGTCACGTTTTCCTCTATGCGAGCCACTGATGTTATATGGACCACAGATCTTTTGTATTTTTCCCGATAACTCCTTCATATACGGTTGGCAGACCGAACCTTTTTTGTGGTGTTGTTATCCTCTTGTATCCTTATATCGTAGTTTGTCGGATATTTTGTTGCCATGTACCCAGGATAGTTGTTACGTTGAAGGGTACTGCTTATACTGATCATCTCTTGTTCATATGTCTCTGGGTCGCCGCTTATGACTTTCGATCGATGTTGTAAGCAGCATAAGATCCCTTTCTTTACACTGTATGGGTGTTGGGAGTTGAAGTTGAGGTATTTTCCGGTAAATGTTGGCTTGCGGTATGCGGATGTCTTGAACTCATGTTCTGTTCGAGATATTAGTACATCCTGGAATGCGAGTTTGTTGCTCCCTCTTATTGAATTCTCATGGTCCAGTAGTAGCTGGATCAGACATATGTCGACAGTATGAAGGCTTAGCAATGGCCTCGCCATTATCACCAGCAATGGTAAATAAGTTCAACTCCCACCACCCATACAGTGTAAAGAAAGGGGTCGTCTGCTGCTTACAACATCGAGCAAAAGTCATAAGTGGAGACCCAGAGACATATAAACATGAGATGGTCAGTACATGCAATACCCTACAACGTAAAAGCTATACTTTTCGCATTAGGTTTTTAAAAATCTAATAGAAGCTCTTCAGTATGCAAGCCATAGTATCACTCTCGTGTTTTGTTTTTGTGGTAGTAAAGAAAAGACTGTCAGCATCGTCACCGAGTTGTTGATATACGGCGTAGGCTCTCCTCGTGAGTCTCAGTGGAATGACCAGTGCAGGTTCTTTTATTTTGGACAGCCTGCAAACACGTTCGGCCTTCTCAAACCATTGAGGGAGCTGTCGAATTCTGGGATCAATTTTAGATCGAACTTGTCCATTGCCGAAATAGCTTGTGGTAGTAAAGAAAAGACTGTCAACTGATACTAGCAACTGTAATAGATCTCTTCTATTTCTCGACCGCAACACTTGTAGCCAAATCGCAGTTCAAACGACAGCCCAATCAGTCGTAAAAGTCCAACAAAGTAGAAAACGACAAAATAGTGTCACACGTCCAACCTTCTCACGAGCAAAAAAAAAAGTCCCTAGAAAAAAAAAGCGCTTGCCGAGGACCAACCATAATTTGCATGCGAATGACGAGACAACGAGATTTCGCGTTAACTGTCCGAGACCGCCTGGCATAAAACATGGGCGCCGCCATTTTGGTTCTTTCGCCGTTGAGCAGCCGGAGTTTGCACGACACACAGATTCGTGTGCGTTTCCGAGGTAAACCGTTTTCACAATTTTCCCCACAGTTTTTAGTGTCACTTTATCGACAAGTATTCCAAATACAATAAAAGAAGGGGCTAGAAACAATTTAGCAGTAATAAAATTGTCATCTCAACTCTTTGTTTTTTTCACTGACTCCACTAGGACTGCTACAGTTAACAGTTTATGAGAGTTTCGTATTTCGTGTTAAGTATGCCATTAACTCATTGGCTGTTGCTTAATGCTATTCAGCTGCATTTTGTTTCTTTAACGCTTAGATCGAACGCCTTGGTGAGATCAATACAAGCGACGTACAGGGGTATCTGCCGTTCTCTGCACTTCTCCTGGAACTAACGGAGGGAGAAGACCATGTCTGCCGCTGATCTTTGAGTTCGGAAACCGCACTGCGACTCTAGGTAGACACGTTCAGAGAGTTTCTGCAGGCGGACCAAGATGACCCGAGTGAAGACTTTGTCCACAACGCTGAGTAGCGAGATGCCTCTGTAGTTGTTGCAGTCGCTTCACTTACCCGTGTTTTTGTAGAGGGTGACGATTTTGGCATCTCTCATGTCCTGAGGTACGGCCCCTTCTTTCCAGCATTGGTAGAGGACCTCGTGCAATGGGAGCAGTAGGGCAGTCTTGCAGTACCCGATCAGGTCAAGGGGGATTCCGTCACTGCCAGGGGCCTTCCCTGAGGCCAAGCTGTCAATAGCTTTGCTAAGCTCCTCTCTGGTCGGTTCGGTATCGAGGTTCTCCATGACCAGCAGGCACTCAATGGCATCAAGGGCTGCCTGGAATAGAGGCCGGAAAAGTGTTCTACCCATCTCTCCAAACTGTTGCTCCTTGTCTACAATGACTTCCCCAGTGGTGGATTTAAGGAGAGCAGTTTTGTTCTGCACTGGTCCCATTGCCGTCTTGATGCCATCGTACATCCCTCTTATGTTCCCTGTAATTGCTGCTGTCTGGATGGTTTCGCTAAGCTCTGTCCAGTACTCGTTAGCGCAGTGTCTGGCAGTTTTATAAGCTTTGCTCCAGTCAGCTCGGATGATCTGCAGGTTTCTCTTGCTGAGTGACCGCTTGTATTCTGCAAGAGCGTCGCGCTTGCCCACAATGACAAGAGCCATCTCGGCGGACTTTGCTTCAAACCAGTCATATGACTTTGAGGTCTTTCTCCCAAAGGTGGCCAAGGCAGTGTGGCGCATCGTGTCCCGCGAGGTCGCCCACTTCTCCGTGGCAGAATCTCCGCGGTCCACGAGGTTGCCCGCTCGTTCTCAAACCTCTTGACAAACTGTTACGCAAGGTCTGGCTGGCTCATCTTGCTGACACCAGTGCGAGGATTCCCCTGCTTCTTGTCGCGTTGGAACCTCTTGGGCTGGAGCCTGATCTTACAGCACACCAAGGAGGGGTCTGTCTTGCAGTCCGCCGTGTGGTGAAGGACGTTCTTAATGGCGGCTCGTCTGACCAGTATGAGATCCAGCTGGTGCCAGTGATTTGAGCGTGGATGTCTCCCGGAGACTTTGTGCTGGGGCTTGGTCCTGAAGGAGTTGGCAATGCACAAGTTGTGGTAGGTACATAGCTCAAGTAGTCTCTGGCCATTGTCGTTCATCTTGCCGACGCCAAACTGTCCAAAGCACGAGAGCCAAGAATCATGATCAGCACTCATTCTGGCCTTGAAGTCGCCTAGGGTAACAAGTTGTTCCTTTCTGGGGATACTGCTGATGGTGGTTGCCAGCTTGTCATAAAACTTGTCCTTGGTGTCCGATGTGGCAGAGAGTGTCGAGGCATACACGCCGATGAGGGTGACAGGGCCTGTGGTGATGTTGAGGCGGAGAGTAAAGAGTCTCTCGGAGCCGTTGCTGCCTGGTTCTACCGTATTCAGCAGGCTGTTCTACACTGGAATGGTTCATCGGAGCTCCCTGCCAGAAGAATGTGTAGTCCATTTCCTTCAGCGATCCACAGTCAGCCAGATGTGTTTCCTGTAGAGTGGTGATGTCCTCATGAAGCCTTTTGAGCTCGCCGTTGATGACGGCAGTTTTCCTGGAGTTACAGATGTCCTGAGGGGTCTTCAGAGAAGCCGGTCAGCATAGTCCGGACGTTCCAATACCCCAGTTTTAGAGCTGATTTCTTTTGTAAATTCTTATTATTGCCTGGTGCGAAGGTTGCAGTCAGCTTGTCGGATAACTCCTAATCTCCATGCACCCAATGAAGAAGGCAGACCGTGGCAAGACAGCACCTTACTGGCTGGGGGCTGCCCAGCTTCAGGTGGGTGGTAGCTGTACAATGAGATCCGAAAATCTCTCCCACCGACGAGAACGACCCCTGACGCTGCGATCTACGCCAATCGAGTGATAGCTTATAACCGGTAACTGCCGTTCTCCGTGTTGTGTCGACGCCAAAGGTGAAGCTAGAGTGTCTTCTCCAGGTGTAGTGCAGGGTGTTTTGGTGCAGTGTGGTGTGGTCGGATACAAATCTGGGCGATGTGATATGGAGGACAGGCTGTTGCCCATGTAGCACGTTCCCTCTCTCCACGTCACCGGTGAGGCCAAATGAACAAGATCGCTACAGTTTGGGACCGGTGCCGTCGCCGGAGCTGCCAGAACGGGTTGGGTACAACGGCGAAATGCCTTAGAGACTCCATCTGGATTTTTTCTCGAGTTCTACTCCTGAAGACTTTTCTATGGCTGGATATAGCTCCACCTACCTACTTTGCTAAGCATTAAGTATAAATTAATTAAACTACCTAAAAAATAAAAACAAAATTGTTTTTGTAATGTCGTTAATTATGCTAACATAAATCCGAAGTACAGTATTTCTCTCCAAAGATATTACATATAGAAACAAATCACATATTTTCTTCTGTGACTGTTCTACATTTAGAGAGTATTTTGGAGAAGATTAACTACAAAACCCTTACAACAAGAGGGTTTCATAATTATCAGCACTAAACTAGTCAAAATTTACGTTAGCTCGAAAAAGCCTGCAATTTTCGTTTACAACAAGCGCATTTAACGAATATTATATGTAATTATTGATGAAAAGGTACAAAATTGATATCAAGTGACTTAGCAGTAAAAGTAAACACACCAGTCATACAATGTCTGATTTTATCATTCCACAAAAGATTTCATATCACATTTTTTCACGCACAATATCCAGTCATTTTGGATAGACAGTCGTTTTCCTTTATTTTTCCATAGACAAACAAGATATTGTAAATTTTTGGCATCCAAGATATGTCAGAAAATCAAATCAAATGGATGTTTCGATTCAAGATTAGAATAGCTATCTGTCTATATTTCTGAGATGGGGTATTATTTACATTATTCGGACTATTGTTCTCATCTTTGTCGCCATATTTATTACAACGTTTCGGTCGTTGTATACACCAGTCTTCTTCAGGTGGTTGGAATGTCGAACTGAATCCTTTATTTCGCTCACTGGGGTAGACTGTTCTAGTTCCACGTGCCATGTTTATTGGATGTCAGTTATCAGTTATCTCCTGTTGAACTCAAAGAGTGTGAGTTCAATACCCGGTTAAGGCAGTGGAAAACTTTCAGAGGGAAATTAACAGAGACCCAAAGAGTGTGAGTTCAATACCCGGTTAAGGCAGAGGGGAACTTTCAGAGGGAAATTAACTGTAGATGGTTAAGGAATATAACGTGAGCGCCCTTTTTATATAATTTTAAGTACTCAGTAATCTTTTTTTTTAAATTAAGAAAATATTCTCCGTAATCTAAACTTTTATTTAATTGTAGATACTTTAGCTTTAAATTTACTATAATTATCGCTCTTATTTTCTGAGAATGTCGCATATCTACAAAAATTGGCACGTTTATACACATACAAAAAAATCAAAATTCTAAAAAGAATTTTGATTTTTTGGTGTTTGATGATTTCTACAAAGCTTATACATTTATAATTAGTAAATATAGTTTTTACTAAATAACAATATCACCTAATGGGGACAAAGTAATGCAGAAATTTAAAATATTTTAATTAGAATAATTTATAAGGTTTCAACCTTATAAATTATTCTAATTAAAGTTATAAAAAAATGAAAACAATTCTTGTAAAAATTTGTTATTTATCGAAAAAAGATTTTTCTGGGGACAATAGTGTCTATAATATATCTTATTCATAAAAGCAATTAAAAGCTTTTCTAATTAAATAATGTTTTAGTCATTTTTTCATTTTACGAATCAGAGCAGATTTTCGGTAACTGGTGTTTCTGTTTCCCAAAAGAAAGAGTTCTGCTTTTAACTGATATAATATATAACATATATATATATATACTTGGCTCCAAAAGCGGTTGTCCTTGAAGGGTAGTATTGTGCCGTTTACATCTTTCTCCTTAACCTTTCCGGTTGTCGGTACTTTCTCTCTCTGACATCTAAATGAGAAAGGTCTGTATCCAAAGTCCATGTCATAGGGAGCTGGGAATGCCTCACTTAGAGTGTTCCAGTCACGTCTTGAGGCTGCTATTCCTACGCCGCGCGTTGACAGAGGATCCTTTGTGAGCAAAGTGTGTTAGGGTTGCCTTCCCGAGCTTTACTATCTCTCCTTTCGAGCCCGGGACTGAGCGTAGTCGTAGACCCCGGGCCAGAAGGCTTTCCTCAATAAGTGTCGTCATGCCTTACATGTCACTCCTCGACTCAGTAACTTTTCTTAGCATAGGAAGACATGGTATTAGTGTCCAGCTTGTCTTGTCGGCTCTTTCTGGTTCTGGACGTCAGCGGCGGATTATCTCAGTAACACTGAATTTTTGCTTACCTGGCGACTTGTTCGGAATGCGCTGCCTTTCAATGATGTGAGTTTAAATGCGGTCCTGGCAGATATGCCTGATAGCTACCAATGTGATCGTAGACTGGAAGGGATGGCCGAGCATGCCTTCTGCCATTGTCTGCTGGTACGCTCGTTTTGCGATCAGGTCGGCTTGTATTGATCCCGAAGATCTTATGTCCATTGATTTCGCGTACATGTGCGATAATATGTCTCCCCCGTGGTCTAGGGCGAAAGGATTAGTGTTTCTCACGCTTCTTGCCGTGACAAGAATGGTGTTGTGGGTGACGCAAACGGAAAGTATCGTACAAAATAAAATTGATTGGATTCTTTAGGTACCAGTTCAAGGTGGAGATCAGAACTGATAGAAAGTGATTTGTTTGGGCAGATTTCAGCGAAAGATTGGTACGTATTACGAGCATGGTTTGCGTGAATTGGGCTAAACTTGATTTCCTTTTTTATTCCTTTCAGGTCACAAGAGAAAGGATTCCTAGCGGACCCCACCCTTGGTTGCTCTAGTCTTCTTGTTCACCTACTTAATGTGAGTGACTGTCGTTCCCGGTCCCCTCTTTTGTTATGGTCCTTTTGAAGATTCCTTATATTGCAGGTTTTATCGTTTTTTTTTTTAACTTGATTGGATGAGCAAGTTTCGCAATATTTTTACCCCTCTCCCACCACTGGCGAGTGAGCTTCTTGATTCAGTCTAACGGCAGAATACATCGGCTATTTTCATTTTTGTGGGGTGAACAGTATCTTATTAACAGTTTTAATTTCTTTTAAATTGTTTAGTTGAAAATTTGATTTGATTTGATGGGTTTGCCCCATCTCCTTTTGTATATTTTTGTAAAAAAATTATAATTGTATATATATATATATATATATATATATATATATATATCATGGGTATATTATTATGACCCCTGTATTTTAGTGCATGTCCGAACCGATGGTGAAGGATGAGTTCTTATGGTGCTTGTGTCAAATGTTAGAATGGATGGGCCGTGAATCGAACTAGCTCGAAGCAGGATAGTTACTGATGAACAATCTCTCTTCCACTCCCTTTAGCCTTGTGCTAAAAGCATTGTATTTTGCTAATTAACCATATTTCAGCTTTCATCTTAAAGTCAACATTTCAAAGTATTTTCAAAGTACATTATTTTTCTAAGTTGTCTTTTTGGGATATGATATTTTAAGTATTCAATAAATGCCATTAAAAATTAGCCAAATAATGCGAAGGAAAAACATTTCTCAAGATGAGAACATGCTTGCTTTTATGATACACGTAAATCTATGTATTTAATATAAATTTGGCAACAGCCTCATAATTTTCTTTGAAAGTATTTTAAATGTATTTATTTATATATTTTTTAAATTGAATTAAATCATTCCATCTTTGTTGAAGATTTGAAAAATTAGTTACGATGTTTGGTTTAGTTAATTTTAATTTTATGGGGTTTGGTAGGGGTTCAGTGCCAATATAAAGGAAAAAGACTTCTAACATAAGTATATGCTTATGTGGCATTTTAATTTACGTTTTAAGATAAAAAAGATTAAGTATTTCATAATTTAGAAAATTAATTTACACAAAGTTTGATATAGTTATATGAAGTTTTGTTAATATCAATTCGTATATAGGATTTTAAATGTGTTGCATTTAATTTGTATAAACAGTATATGTACTAAATTTAGCCTTTTTATTTGTTGTATTTCCTGATTTCAGATTACCCATGACATATGTAACGAAGAAGAAATGTTGATTACCTTCTGTTGAATATCTATCTGTTCGTTCGGTTTTATCCATCGCCAGGAAATAAATTTAAAACAGACCACTAGAGTGCTTTAACAAACTTCATGATGATTTTTCAATCAAGAAAAAACATTGGGACAGCTATTTAGCAAATATATATGTAAAACAAATAAAGGTTTGATGGCATTTTATGAGATTTCGAAGATAACTTTAAAAGTTGGAAAACTTCATTATATAGGGAAACTATAATTTTGCCAACGGAATCTGTAATGAACCAAAGAAACTCAACTGTATCAAAATGCATTGATGAAATATTTGAGGATTGTAGAAGGGCCAATTGCAAGTGAAACAATTTGTCCTTCAACTTGGTGAATCTACTTCAAGAGGTAAGGAAGAAATTCTACTAACATGTAATGGGAATCGACTCAGAGAGGAAAGTCTTTTTGCTCGAATGCGAATCAGTTTTCAAAAAAGTTGCGACTTATTGCAAGTTAAACAATATTTAACTCGGGAATAAAACGGCTTGGTGCTCTGTTCATAGTAGGTATTTTGCATACACTATGTGAGCCACCAGAAATTCCTGGTTGCAAAGCAATTAGATGGACTTCTACGTAAGGACTTTAACATTGTAACAAAAGATGCCAGCCTCATTAAATCAAATGATCTTCAAGACAGCCTCTTTTATAAACTTTGTTGTCAAAATAGAGAAGAGTTTGAAGGAACGCAATAGTTATGGAAAGCAAATTG